GCTCAACCACTCAATTTCGCCACAGGGCGTTAAGAAGTAAAGGGTGAAACAGTAACTTTTGTTTTTCCCTGTATAATGATCAAGTCATCAGCTTTCCACGGAAATAAATATTAAGGCTACCATTCCGGGAGATTAATCTACGATTTGATCGAAATTTCACAATAATCGGACAAGGATTAAAAAAGGTACAGGGTGAACAATTTGTGCAAATTTTTTGGTGGCCGGTTTTTTTGCCGGTGAGTGAATATGAAGTTATATACAGGGCGTTACGCAGTACAAGATAAGGGCGATGACTTAGTACAAGCTTGTGCAAACGAAGGTTAAAGTATAGATTAAATAGTTTTGAGCAGAGATATAACATGGTCGACTTGAATGATTTTTGTCTGTGATTGTTAATGTACCAAAGCTCTGTTTTTTCCAATTGATGGATTTTTTTGGGCAGTGCTTCATGATAATTCATCAATTCAATATTTTTCGGCATGATACCATGTTTCTTATTTCGATTATTCAGTCTTCTTATAGGCACAAACAAATTAATTTGAAAAAAAAATTGAATACTATGAAAGAGAGCCACACAAATAAAATAAAATCCCTCAATCTGTCTGCGCAACATAGGAATCACCAAAAACATTTTAAATATCTCAATAATATAAATTATAATATAATAGCAAAATAAATACTATTTTAAATATCAAGTTAAAAGTGCTCTACAACTCTTTTCACGACACCTATGCAGCAATTCAATAAAATCCTCCAGCTATCCTGTACGAAGAAGAATATCGGATGACTTATCAAATTTTTCATCAAGTTTTCATCATATAAAAAACGTATCTAGCTAATTTCTTTTCGTAAATATGGGTGTACAGAACAGCCGATCCTTGATAGTACACATTTTTTTTCCAACGTCATAAACGTAAATCATTTACGTTAATAATACCGATATTATTACTTATAATAAATATTATAAATGTTGTTTAGTCTGGTTCATATAAAAACGATACAAAAATTCAAAAGTTCCTCCGTTTGTTCTGGATCTTCTCCAATACGAGAGGAATTACCTCCGATTCAGTTCAGATTTGATTGCTGAAAAATAAAAAAAATTATAGGGTTCACCTGTAGTGTCCAATGTAGTAATACACTGTTTATTTCCAAATAAGTAAATAAAGTAGGGACAATCAACATTTCTAATTTCATTTATGAACTAGCTTTTCTTTATTCTCTCAGTATCTTTTGTATTTTTTTGTGGTTTTAAAAAATTCAACAAACAAACGAACAAACAAATATTTCCTCTTCATAATGTCACGAGGAGCTTATACTAACTTTATATCGAGAATCAGTTGGGAGAAATCCATGAAAATGTGCAAGCTTATATTTTAGAATATGCTCTCCTCATTTAAAATATTTTCTATAATGCAATGTTGCCACTTCTATTAAAAAGTAGCAGCAACATTGATATCTCAAATAGAACACCCTGTAGTCTATCGCATTTCTAGATTCTCCCTCAAGCGCTGATTTCATCTATATATCACACTTGGGGTCTATCCAAAAAGATTTCAGAGATATAGGGTGTTCAAAATCGAGATTTTTCAACTTTAGGATTTTTTTGTGTAGAAACTATTTATTATCGGTCAAAACGGCTCAGATGTCGCTATCTCAACTTCAGATTCACTATTTACAGATGTTTAATCGGAACAGATGCAGGGTTGTTCAAGATTCAGAATTCTGATCACCCTGTATCTGTTCCGATTAAATATGAGTGAATAGTAAATCAAGAGTTGAGATAGGGACATGTGAGCTGTTTCGGCCGATAATGAATAGTTTCGACACAAACAGAACCTAAAGTTGAAAAATCTCGATTTTGAACACCCTATATCTCTGTAATCATTTCCGATAGACCCCAAGTGTGATGTATGGATGAAATCATCTCTTCAGGAAAAATCTGAAAATGCAATAAAATACAGGGTAGTCTTCATTATTCCAAATTTTTTGGGATTTTCTCTCCTCGTTTCTATAAAATAAAAAATATGAATATTATTTCAATATACGTGTAGTGAGCACAAATCAGATGATTTGCCCCAAAATGTCACTGCGTTTAAAGAATTTTCCTATCAGAGAGCCTAAAAGAAAAATTCACTAGCTTGTCAGTGACAATTTGTATCGAAAAATTTTTGGAGAAGAGAAATAAAGGTATATAGAAAAAATATCAAATTTTCACTTATCTTTGGACGTTTCGGGACCGATTCTGCTCCCGTTTTCAACATGAAGAGATTTTTTCAATTGCGAAGTCGTATAATATGTCTTGAAGCTTTTCAGTTTTCAATGACAATTGGTGACGTTGGCAATCAAAGGAGTTACAGGATGTTTTCATTAATTGATCTTGAATTTACCATTTTCATATTTTTATGCTATAGAAACGAGGAGAGAAAATCCCAAAAAATTTGGGATAATGAATGTACCACCTCCTCGATTAACCTACAGACAGTATTTAACAGGGTATTCTGTTTGAAATAACAAAGTTGTTGCTACTTTGTGATAGAAGCGGCAACACTGCATTGCTGAAAATATTTTAAATGAAGAGAGCGTATTCTGAAATATAAGCATGCATATTTTCATGGATTTCTCCCGACTGATTCTCGATATAGAGATAGTGTAAGCTCGTCGTGACATACCCTGTATAATCACTGAACTGAAAGATGAATTTCGATTTCTCACTTATAAATAATAGTTCTTTTTAAAACCACTTAAATCGACCGTATGCAACGAAATCTGGTGCGAGACTGATATACAATTGCTTGATTCACCCGAATGACTAATCAGTTGAGTTCTTCTTCTAATGATAAATATCCGAACAAGTTTATTATCTATGACTAATAAGTTTCGTTATCGAAAGTGGGTATATTGGGGAAAAAAGAATTGATATAATATATACAGGGTTGCTGGAATTCGAGCCTGATCATTGGGATCTCGTAAACCGTAAGATATACAGGTTCAGCTGAATGGGCGAGTTGACTGATAATGAATTATTGGCATTCAATTACTCCACTGTGTCGATAGGGACCTACATTAATTTTTTCAACACTTCTCACATTTTTTTATGTAGATAATGAGTCTTGTTCAAAATTGTTGAATTTCAGTGTAAATTTGTCGTACCATACCCTGTAGATTAGTACAGAGTTCGTCGTGCCATACCCTGTAGATTAGTATAGATAAAGGTCTAACTTGGTTGGTTTCATAGAAAACTCCTCACAGGATTTTTCATCGCCTGTCAGTTATTTGTAAGGGGTTTGTTCAAATATGAGCATTCTTTTAGGATTCTGCTTATTTTTTCTTTGGTATTTGAACTTTCTTGTTTAAACAGACCGTTTTAAGTCAATCTTGTCACGTGACAAAAACAAGATAGTTGAATATGGCGACATGACATGACATGCAGATGTGACATAGTGATAGTCTGACAGCTGATAAGCAATTGAGCAAGCTCATGTTGTGGATGTCAATATGTCAAATGACAGGGAGTCACCAATCTAATGTTTTCACAAGAAATTCAATAATTTCTCCCTTTGAAATTGTTGCCAGGAAGACGACTATAATGACGAAAAAATGCTATCTCATTGATTTTTCATGATTTTCAAATGTGAGGATTCTTCTTCTTTTGTTTTTTATCATATAAACCTCCTTATTTAACCAGATCGAGTACCTTTTTTTTTCGGTCTGTCAATGAATGCATCATTTAAATCAGTCTGTCCTGTCACAAAAAGGTGGCATGATGTGTTGGTGTGACGCGTGACAGTTGACAAGCAGCTGAGCAAGCTCATGTTGTGAATGTCAAGATCAGGATGAACAGAAGATGGTGTAGAAACTCCTATCAAATCCCATCTACTGTTTTGCGGTCAAAGTTCTTGACCTACGGCCTACTTAACAGACGGATTCTTTTCAATATCGCGGAATATAGGGTCGCATTTTACCCGTTAGATGGCGAAATATCAACAATAATTCAAGGTTGGAAGAACTGATGAGAATTGAAATTCCCCAGAATTACAGTTTCGTACTTTGAAATGTAATCTCATTTGATTTGAGGTTATGTTATGAATTTATATTATCATTTCTGGTGCAAGCGGTGTGTAAGCGTAAGCACCCTTTTCTGTCATGAAAAAAATCTGTAGTGTCGCCATCTTGCGGACAACTGGGAACTAATACGCCATTATTGCGGAATCTGCGGTCAAGCGTTTTGGGAGAAACAAAACACTGTCTGTGATTACACCATATTCTATCCACCTTGGTCAAGATGTCAGATGACAGGAGTTCATCAATTTAATGTTTCCACAATGAATTCTGAAACTGTTGCCATGGATAACATTATAATGAAGAAATAATGAACTATCTTATTGATTTCTGTGTATTTTCAAATGCGAGGATGCCTTTTCTCTTGTTTTTTGAATTGTCAACTCCTTGTACTATGAATTTCAAATGATCGCGGTTATATTTCTTCAGTTTGGCGAATAAATTTATCAACTAGGTAAATCAGTCTGTCATGTCACGTGACAAAAACAAGATAGTTTAATATAGCTACATGACGTGTCTGATGTGACGTGTGACACGGTCACAGTCAGACAGCTGGCAAGCAACTGAGCAAGCTCATGTTGTGAATGTCAAGATGTCAGATGACAATCTATATTTTTATAATGAATTTTAGATTTTCTCCCTTGGGAATATTGTTGCCTTGAATAATTTCAAAACTATTCAACAATACTAACCACAACAACTATAAAATGAGAGGGTTCCAGATGCTCAATTTGAGTAAATTTCATATCATTTGGGGGAGGGGGGGATTTTCTTTGGTTGATTTTATGTTAAAAAATTTCGCATTTTTCGGTGATGTTTCGAAAAGTAAATTAACTGTGCCCTAATTCAATCATTGCATACTAATTTCATTCAATACTAGCACCCCTATGTCATTAACTGACGATTTAGTTCAAATACAAAAGTTGTATGTTTGGCTCACCATCTATAATATCTTGTTTCATTTTGGCGATTTCTTTTTTGACTTCCTTGACTATCTCGTTCTTGAGGCTGTCCATCTCTGTCGGACCTAAAGAGAGACTACTCGCATCCGATAGGCCGTTCACCTTGAGTATGGTCTCTTCTGACGCGGAACCGAACCTTTTTCTAACACTTTTCGGCGATTCAGAGTTGAACTTTGACGTGTTGCTAGGCAGGGTGTTGGTCTTTTCCCAAATCGCCGCTTTTTTGTCCTCCTCTTCTTTGTCTGGCACTTTTTTCTCCACCTAAATCAATTCAATAATAATAAAAAAGTTATTTATTATACGCGTCGGGAGACAACACAACCTGGAGCTAAAATCTAATCTTTTTCCTGTGTATAATACACTTTTTTTCTGAGACAGAAGAAAGGACGAATCAATATTGACAAGATATTAAATTATTTTGAAATCTGAAAATTATCGACGTGAAATTTTAAGTTTTTAACAGTAGGGACACCTGCGTTGTAGGCATCTTTATCATTCTTTTGAAGTAATCAAATATGTGATGTCACTTCTGTCAGTCTAATTCTGTGATTTGATTTCAAAAAATTGCGAATTTAGTGGTTGTTAAGTAATATATGTAACCGCGAAGTCGAATGTGTTAGCTTGGTGGACGGTTATTAGAATGAAACACTCTGTGTACTCCACGATTTCCACTATATTCACAATAGGTATCAGATACAACCTAGCCGTATCACGGCTACTTCTTAACTACTTAATATTACTCATACATCGATAAATTCTACCCAAAATACCCGTCACCTTTTACATAACTCCGTGTGTCATCGATAGATCGACACTCATTAATCTAGAAGCACTATACAGGGCGTATATGTACGTAGCTCCTCGATACGATACTCTCTTACAAATGGAAGGTAAAATGACTCATTTTTCGGAACTATAGCACAGCAGAAGCAATCAACAGTGTATATGTGATATATATCCGGGAAAAAAGTAGTCCACAGGAAAAAAGTCTTTTATGGAAAGTGACATTTAACCTGCCAACAGAGATGAAATGCCAAACTTTTTTCCCGTCACAGAAAAAAATCAGGAAAAAGGACCAATAAATATTGAGAAGATATTTATTAAAATCAGAAAATTATCGACGTGAAATATGAAATTTTTAACAGAAATTACGCCTCTCAGGCATCTTTATTAATCATTCTTTTGAAATAATCAAATATCTGCCAGCCTAATACTGTGATTTGATTTCAAAAAATTGCGTACTTGGTGGTTATTTAGTAATTTACGTAACCGCGAAGTGGAATGGAAGATAAAAGGACTTGCAGTTCTTTCTCAGAGAGATGGTGTTATTGGCACAACAAAAGCCATCAACAGTGTTTTTCTGGAAAGAAGTACAAACTTTTTTCCCGTTGCAAGAAATTACTATGGCTATATTCCGAATTCAACTGACAGTACTGAATCTGCCTAATTTTCATTCCGAAATCAAAAAAATTGACTGAAATTGACAGATACTCGTGAGCAGATATACTATTCATTCCAAATATTTCGACTCCACATTCTGCTGAAATTGCTGACTATCAAAAGGTAGTGTGGCTTCAGTGAACTGTCATCAGTTTTGAGGGGAAAGGAATGACACATTCATTTCCGTTGTTTTTCAAACATTGAGTCTTGGCTTATCAATAATACATTAATAATATCATTTTGATATCAGAAAATGCCTGTTATTTATTTAGCTCAAGCAGAAGCATCTGCCAGATCAATGACAACTGACAAATTTCACCAGCCGGAACACAGCTTTTCAGCAGAGTCAGTGGATCTACTGACAGTACTGACCAGTTGAATTCGGAATATAGTCTATGAAAAGTGACATTTTATAACCTGTCAAAAATTGTCTCAGACAAATATTTGAAGATCAACTTACTGCTGCTCGTCGCCTGGCCAGTGTCTTTGCCATTTCATCCATCATGGAAGCCATACTACCACCACCTCCTCTGCCGATGGTGCCATAATTACTACTACCGCCACTGCTTGTAGACGATCCGCTATTCTCAGTCGGTGGTGGAGTATTCTGTTGAAAAATAGTAACGTTTATGTGACTTGCATCTATAATTTCTTTTAGGTAGTTTTTTTTAGTGTTAAAATTATATTTTGAAACATCAAGGAAGATCTTGTATCAAAGCTGAATCTTTACTTGAAAATTGAGAGATATAGTGCAAGAGCCGACTGCAAATTTGTGTCATCATTCTCGCTAGACCCCAAGTGTGATGCATTGATGAAATCAACTCACAAATACGGGGTATCCCATAAGAAAAAGTATATCTTTGATACGTCACGCATTTCTGAGTCACCCTGTATTAAGCGAAATGATTTGGAAATGTGCTGCTCATGATCCTAGATCAGCTCTGAAATTTGTGTTCATCTATCTCAAACAGTAAAGCCGTTATCTCACTTTGCCACACTAATGACTCGCCCTGTATATCAATTTATTGCAAACTTCACAGTGAGATAAAAACCTCGTAATAGGAAACCTCCCCATTCCGGCAAAATAGTATCACTTGTGAAGTTCCTAGCAATTGCAATTACCCACCTTGCTGTTCCTCTTGAGCCTGGCGTTCTGCAGCTGCGCCGCCAGCGAGTTCGCCTCGCCGCCGTCGCTGCTCTGCGACCGCTGCATGTTCATGGGCGGCGGGGGCGGCGGCGGAGGGGCGGCCACCGCGGGGGGCAGGCCAGGGGCGGGCGGGCCTGAAGCGGGTGGACCGGGGGGAGGCGGGGGAGCGGGCGGGGCGCAGGTGGTGCGCTGGTGGCCGGCCTGGTTATTTTGCAGCGCGTGCTGTAACATCGTGAAACGGCACTACATCAACTGGTGGGGAAAATTGAAGCCGCAATAAGCAACAAGAGCATAGCTCTTGCGGTTTTCCTGGATATTCAAGGGGCATTTGACCACACACCCTTCATATCCATGGTAGCAGCGGTTGTTGGGCGTGGCGTGGAAGACACTACATGTCAGTGGATAAAAAGCATGCTACACAACAAAACAGCGGAATCCTCATTGCTTGGTGAAACCATGGAGGTGACGATTTCTAGGGGTTGCCCACAGAGAGGAGTTCTTTCTCCCATGCTGTGGGATCTGGTTATTGACGAACTCCTGAAAAAACTAAACAATGTAGGAATTTACTCACAAGGGTATGCAGATGATGTCGTCATTCTGGTAGAGGGGCAGCAACCTGAAATTATTTCAGACTTGATGCAGCGAGCCCTGAAGATAGTAGAGGGCTGGTGCAGAAAGGCAGACCTCAGGGTCAATTCTAGTAAAACTGCACTTGTGGCCTTCACGAAAAACAAGAAACTGGACAAACTAAAAGTTACCCAGGCATACTGGAACAATGTCACAGGACAAAGACACAGTGAACTGATGGTTGGAACACTGTCCAGAACAGTGACTAACGACATTCTGATCCTGATCAGAAGTCGGATCAGACAAGTGACGGGACTAATAACCGGTCACTGTCCCTTGAGGAAACATATGCATCGAATGGGCATCTATACAGACGAACCCATATGCAGACTATGCAATGAAGAGGAGGAATCTGCCACCCATGTAATATTGGAGTGCGAAGCACTAGCGCGTTGGAGATATAACCTTCTGGGAGCAGTAAGGCTTTTCCAACGAATGATTTGGTGAAGAGGCTGCTAAACCTAATCAAGGTAGCGAACCTGTTCACCTAAGTCAACAGCATGATCAGGAATACAATAGGCCCAAAGGCTGCAGTGTTTTGGGCTTCGAACCCTGACTGATCATTCTGCTATTAATCAATCAATCAATCAATCAATCAACATTGTTTTCGTGTATGTACAGGACGGGAAATTTGTTAATGATGAGTTTTAGCGAAAAGAAAAAGACGAATTGTCGAAGGTAGAGTTCCTAAATGTACTTGACACTGCTGTTTTGACGTTTATACAAAAAACGTCAAAACAGCAGTGTCACGTACATTTAGGAACTCTAGTCGAAGATGATAACTGTTGTGTTCTTTTAGGTCTTCTCTAGGTTAATCCTCGTGCACCCGAAACTCTGTCCTACGAAGATGTTAAGAGGACACTGATTGAATATTTCGACAAATCGAAAAATAAGTATGCCGAGAGTATCAAATTCCGACAAATTCACCAGCAAGAAAATGAAACAGTTCTTTCTATTTCTAGATTGAATGCTTGTAAAACAGCTTCTTCATGGACTTCGATCTCGTGAGATGTGCGACTAGTTAATTGCTAAAAACTCAACAAATTTTACAGATGCTTACAAAGTAGTGCACAAGCTCGAAGCTACGCACCACACAACGAGCAAAGTGAAATTTTCAGCGGCTGCACCCTCACTAGAAGTCACAAATAGATAGGGTTACACTGCACCCCAGACCAGACGCGAACCGAAACCCTTCTCTTCCAGATCAGCATCAGCACCAAATGTCCAGCTCAGAGCAACCAGTAGAAAATATCTACCAGGAAAATATTGATCCCATTGATTATCTCGAAAAAATCAATGTAATTAGCGGCACTAAACCAGAAGATCGGCTCCTTGATGATGGAGCTTGACACCGGTGCACCATGAGCCATAAAAACTCTACGATTTATTAAACCGAGGTTTTCTTTGCAGAGATCCGACAGACATTTTGCTAGTTATACCCGCCATGAAATCATCTGTCTTGGCCGGCTTCCTGTCAATGTGACAGTAGGTGAAAAAACGCGAAGACTAGATATTTACGTCGTTGAGGGTAAATTTGACGCTATGCTCGGACGAGAATGGATCACACATTTTGTTTCCGAGATAAATTTCTCCAAATTATTTCCAGACCATGAACAGATTCATTCGATATCAACTGCAATTCTTGACCTTACCCAAGATCAGAAAAATAAATTGGAGCTGCTACTAGTAGAATACGAAGATGCGTTGGCAGACACAGCCGGATAACTCATAGGTCCACCTGCAACAATGCACCTGAAATCTGGAGCTACGCCTGTTTTTTCCAAACTTTGAGCCATTCAGACAAATTTTGAAGATCAATCAAAGTATGAAAACTAAATATTAAAACAGTCTAGGGCTTGAATAAATGTCGGAATTAGTATAATCCTAGAATATGATAGTTCGACTTCCATTCGCAAGATAGGCTTGCCAAATTATTAGGTTAGACATAAAAAATTTCCGATCAAGTTCTACTTACCGAGAGAGGGGGCGTGACAGGACTAGCCCCGCCCACCATCATAGGGGGCGGTACAGGCGGCGCACTGCCTTGTTGCGGCGTCATCGGTGATGTCGTTTGCGGTTGTGGCGACATCAGATTCGACGATATCCTTCGCTCCTGAATCAAAATGGATTTCATGACGGATATGTTGGAAGATTTTTTTATTGAAAATTTAGTAATCGGTAGTTTTTTCCAGGGTTGGGGAAATCTTGATTATATTTTAAAAAAATTATTGATTTAAATAAAAAAATCATGATTAAGGCATGTAGTGTAAAATGGGAAAATGTCACCTGTGTCACCATTACCTGGGGAGCAATTCTCGATCCGTTCGAATTCAATTCGTATACGAATAAACAAAGATGCACTCACGTATGAGACGTATGTTGAAATAAAATAGAAGATCGAATGCTATGGCTATGGAATCGGACGGTGAAGGAATGCCCCCTTCTAGAGATGCCGGGGGACATTTTCACTCCTGTCATTAGATTCAGCAAAAGGCAAAAGTCAATTATCCCGAAAAGGGAGGACTGGGAGCAGTTCGGGCACCGCCTGATCCCTACCACTGGAATCATTTGGTACACAGATGGCTCCAGGATGGAGGGATCGGCAGGAGCTGGGGTATATGGGCAATCTCCGAAAGCGTAACTCAGTTAGGCCCTGGGGAACTTTGCTACAGTGTTTCAGGCAGAGGTTTTTGCCATTCTCGCCTGTGTTAGAGAAAATATCAACAGAGGCTACCATGGCCAGCTGATCACGATATGCTCTGACAGCCAGGCGGCGATCAAGGCCCTCACATCATACAGGGTCAGTTCGCTGTTGGTGTCGGAGTGTATTGATGAGCTTCAAAGGCTATCCGCAGCCAATAAGGTGAAACTCCTTTGGGTCCCAGGACACAAGGAAATTCCCGGTAATGAAAGGGCCGACTCCCTGGCTAGACAAGGAGCAAATAGCTCAGCCATTGGACCAGAACCAATCTTAGGAGTTTCCAGATCCTGGAGCGTCTCAACCATGATGAAAAGCTTGGAAACGAAATTCCAGGAGGTATGGAGAGAGACTCCAGGCATGAGACAATCGAAACTCCATATCGGAGGCCCTTCTATCAGAAGAACCAAAACGTTGCTCATATTGAGCAGAAAAGAAATAAGAATAGTGGTAGGGCTCCTCACGGGTCACTGCCATCTAAACAGGCACCTCAACATTATGGGTATCACTGATGATGCTGAATGTAGGTGGTGCCTGGAGGACGAGGAGTCAGCTACTCACATCCTCACGGAATGCCCAGCAGTTGCAGCAATACGGGAAGCACATCTCGGGAACATCGTTTTGGAACCAGAGAGTGTGAGAAGGGTTTCGTTGAGAAGGCTGGTCTCTTTCGCCCGCGAAATTGGCTACCTTCATGACTGAACCAATTCCCAGCAGAGGTGGGTGCATAACGGGCCCGAACTAGGAGGCCTACATGCTGAAGGATCCGTCCGCCCACATAGTGTAATCTTTCTATCTAAGAAGATCGAATTCGTATACGAATAACGCTCGAGAATATACCCCCTGGTCGGCCTGGTCTATTAGACAGTACACTATATGGTGAAAAATCTTTGAACAAATTCTTCTTCTCATGTTCCCTACCTGCAAGATGGCCGCCTCTTCCCGCGTCATCGTGCGGTACCCCATGTCCTCCTCGTACTGCTGCTGCTGCATCTGCGGCGGCAAAGGCGGCTGCGGAGGCTGGGGCTGCTGCAGCTGCGTCTGCATCTGCGTTTGCGCGGGCGGCTGTTGCTGTTGGGGCGGCACTTGTTGCTGCATCTGTTGGGGGGGAGGGGCGTACTGCGGCGGGGCGGGCTGTCTGACTACGTTGCTAAGTACCTGGGAGGATGGGAAGGAGGTACAGGGTGATTCACCATAAATGTCCCCCTCCCTCTAGCTCAGTTATTTTCGAACCGATTCCAAAATTTGAAATATCATCTTAAATGATTTTCGATAAAGTTTTTTTCCGCTACATCAGAAAATACAGGGTGCTCGGAACAAAATGGCTGTTGGCGAGCAGTGTATATCACTGAAGATTACCCCACTTGGTCATAGAGTGCATTTTTGATATATCTCTCGATCCAGCAAATTTCAGGATCCTTACCCAACGATTACGTAAGATACAGGTGTGTTCCCATTAGAAGTGGGTCACACTGTATGTTCCAAAGGAAAGTAAAAAAATTGTAGTTCTTCGAACAGCACCTGTGCCAATCACTATCCTGAGCAAAATGATCAAATTATTTAACGAGGCGTAGCCGAGGTTTTTCTACAAACGTAAAAAATTGTAGTTCTAAAGTAGTAATATGCCTAGCTTAATATAAAAAATAGTGTTGAACTAGCTTAAAAGGTCTCAATTATTGTTAAACATTCAGAAATTAATGATTTCTTTCATGTTTGCTCCATTGAGAACCATAAAGTTTAAATACAAAAATCTCATATAGTTCAACCTTGTCATTTTTTGACGTTTGTAGAAAAGATCTTTTTCAAATTGATATTTTGATATCGATATTGTATTATTCAAACCATCAGGAAAACCGTCTACTCGAATTTTAACGTTTCAATTCGAATAGAACAAAAAAGTTCACAAATAATTTTTCCACGAATTAATGAACCCTTTCCATCTTAATCTCTCATGGTATGAAAAACAAAGAGAATAAACCAAGAAATACGAATAACCAGTACACAAAACAAATGATCTCCCTAGACAAAATCTCTAGGAACAAAAGACAGACAAAAAAGACGCAATATTTCCTCGCTTACTTCTAACGAATGGAACATGGCTCTGGCAAAACAATCCGCGTCTTCCTTGGAACTGAAATTCAGTCCGTACACTTGCTTATTGTCTCGCCACTGATGAAACGTCGATGTGGCTTGGTTGTATTTCAGTCCTTTCAGTATGGCACAATTGATGACGACCTGAAAATAAAACGATTACGATCTCAACGATCTGTAGACAGCAAAAAGAGCTCCATGAATTTTGCCAAATGTGACCTACAGGAGTTGTGAGTCTATAGCAGTTCTGCCCAAAGCCATCGTGACCTCACTTTCGTCTTGAAAGCGTCGTGAAAACGTCACGAAAACGTTTCACGTTATTTCAACAATTTACGAAGCATGCGTGACCATTCAGTGATGTTATCGAGACGATTTCGTGGCGAAAGTAAGGTCAAGATGGCTTGGGCCAGAACTCATATTAAAAAACGTCAAAACAGCAGTGTCAAGTACATTTAGGAACTCTAACGATCTGTAGACAGCAAAAAAGAGCTCCATGAATTTTGCCAAATGTGACCTACAGGAGTTGTGAGTCTATAGCAGTTCTGGCCCAAAGCCATCTTGACCTCACTTTCGTCTAGGAAGCGTCCTGAAAACGTCACGAAAACGTTTCACGTTATTTCAACAATTTACGAAGCATGCGTGACCATTCAGTGATGTTATCGAGACGATTTCGTGGCGAAAGTAAGGTCAAGATGGCTTGGGCCAAAACTCATATTGAAAAACGTCAAAACAGCAGTGTCAAGTACATTTAGGAACTCTAACGATCTGTAGACAGCAAAAAAGAGCTCCATGAATTTTGCCAAATGTTGCCTACAGGAGTTGTGAGTCTATAGCAGTTCTGGCCAAAGCCATCTTGACCTCACTTTCGTCTTGAAAGCGTCCTGAAAACGTCACGAAAACGTTTCACGTTATTTCAACAATTTACGACGCGTTGCGTGACCATTCAGTGATGTTTTCGAGACGATTTCGTGGCGAAAGTAAGGTCGAGATGGCTTGGGCCAGAACTCGAATTAAAAAACGTCAAAACAGCAGTGTCAAGTACATTTAGGAACTCTAACGATCTGTAGACAGCAAAAAAGAGCTCCATGAATTTTGCCAAATGTTACCTACAGGAGTTGTGAGTCTATAGCAGTTCTGGCCAAAGCCATCTTGACCTCACTTTCGTCTTGAAAGCGTCCTGAAAACGTCACGAAAACGTTTCACGTTATTTCAACAATTTACGAAGCATGCGTGACCATTCAGTGATGTTATCGAGACGATTTCGTGGCGAAAGTGAGGTCAAGATGGCTTGGGCCAGAACTCATATTAAAAAACGTCAAAACAGCAGTTTCAAGTACATTTAGGAACTCTTTCGATCTGTAGACAGCAAAAAAGAGCTCCATGAATTTTGCCAAATGTTGCCTACAGGAGTTGTGAGTCTATAGCAGTTCTGGCCAAAGACATCTTGACCTCACTTTCGTCTTGAAAGCGTCCTGAAAACGTCACGAAAACGTTTCACGTTATTTCAACAATTTACGAAGCATGCGTGACCATTCAGTGATGTTATCGAGACGATTTCGTGGCGAAAGTAAGGTCAAGATGGCTTGGGCCAGAAGTCATATTAAAAAACGTCAAAACAGCAGTGTCAAGTACATTTAGGAACTCTAACGATCTGTAGACAGCAAAAAAGAGCTCCATGAATTTTGCCAAATGTTGCCTACAGGAGTTGTGAGTCTATAGCAGTTCTGGCCAAAGACATCTTGACCTCACTTTCGTCTTGAAAGCGCCCTGAAAACGTCACGAAAACGTTTCACGTTATTTCAACAATTTACGAAGCATGCGTGACCATTCAGTGATGTTATCGAGACGATTTCGTGGCGAAAGTAAGGTAAAGATGGCTTGGGCCAGAACTCATATTAAAAAACGTCAAAACAGCAGTGTCAAGTACATTTAGGAACTCTAACGATCTGTAGACAGCAAAAAAGAGCTCCATGAATTTTGCCAAATGTTGCCTACAGGAGTTGTGAGTCTATAGCAGTTCTGGCCCAAAGCCATCTTGACCTCACTTTCGTCTTGAAAACGTCCTAAAAACGTCACGAAAACGTTTCACGTTATTTCAACAATTTACGAAGCATGCGTGACCATTCAGTGATGTTATCGAGACGATTTCATTGCGAAAGTAAGGTCAAGATGGCTTGGGCCAGAACTCATATTAAAAAACGTCAAAACAGCAGTGTCAAGTACATTTAGGAACTCTAACGATCTGTAGACAGCAAAAAAGAGCTCCATGAATTTTGCCAAATGTTACCTACAGGAGTTGTGAGTTTATAGCAGTTCTGGCCAAAGCCATCTTGACCTCACTTTCGTCTTGAAAGCGTCCTGAAAACGTCACGAAAACGTTTCACGTTATTTCAACAATTTACGACGCGTTGCGTGACCATTCAGTGATGTTTTCGAGACGATTTCGTGGTGAAAGTAAGGTCAATATGCTTGGGCCACTACTTACAGGGAATCTTGTACTATTTACTGAACGCCCAGTTATGAATATCCAATCTCTATACATTTTCGAGTGATCGCCACTTCTTTCCACACAGTGAGATAGCCATCGATATAAGAGGAGTTAATCTCTTGGGAACACCTAGATTCAGGCACAAGAGAACTCATCGAACCATTGAATTTATACACTCACCGGTAAAAAAAACCGACCACCAAAAATCTTTGCCATATTGTTCGCCCTGTAACTTCTTCAATTCTTGTCCGATTTTGGTGAAATTTTGAACAAATCGTATATTCATGTTTCGGAATGTTAAGCTGAATATTAGTTTCTAAGAGAACCTGATGGCTTGATCAACAACACTGTTTCACCCTTAACTTCTCAACGTCCTGTCGCAAAGGTGGATTAAACTTAGCCTATTATGTTTTGGATTGAAATGTGATCCCTTCCTAACACAATGGTTTTTGATTAACGTCGGTAACCACTTTTCAAGATAAGATACAAGTATTTTTAGAAAGTATGGATTTTTTATATTTTTATTAACAATAATTCAGAACCATTTTTCAACCTTCTGCTTCATCATGTTGTATTGAATTAGTGTGATGAAGTGTGATCTTTTTCGTTCCTTCTTAACCCAATGGCTATATTCACGACAATATCTTCTTATTAAGAGAAGCTGAAAGTGTTTTATAAGAAACTATGGAGTTTTCAAATTTTTTATAACAATAATAATTCAGAACCTATAGAGCATCTTAGGGATGAACTCAAGAGGCTAATTCGCCTTTGTACGGCCTTGTCAGACACTCTTCAAGAGCTACGATTCGTCTTTCAAGGAGAATTTTAGGCTACTTGATGCCACGGCGATTATTGACTATACAGGTCTGCTTTTTGTTTGTTTTTTATAATTATGTTTTGTCAAGTCGGTGCTGAGAAAATGAAGAAGAAATAAGTGATATTAATGCTTTGAGCTGTTAATCAATAAGGTCATGAAGGTTCTGAGTGTTGTTAATAACTCGTATCTTCTCGTTAAAATTAGATATTGATGTGAATAAAAAACTATTGTGTTGAGAAGGTATCACACTTCAATCCAAAGCATAATGAAGAGAAGTTCAACCACTCAATTTCGCCACAGGGCGTTTAGAACTAAAGGGTGAAAGAGTAACTTTGGTTTTCCCTGTATAATCATCAAGTCATCAGCTTTTCACGGAAACTAATATTCAGGCTAACATTCCCGAACATAAATCAACGATTTGATAGAAATCTCACAATAATCGGACAAGGATTGAAAAAGTTACAGGGTGAAAAATTTGGGCACATTTTTTGGTGGCCGAGTTTTTTTTGCCGGTGAGTGGATTTTGCACTTTGCATCTGTGAATTAGGCAAATATTCTTGAAAAAAAAAGTTGTTTTAGCATGACAATTCAGAGCCGTCAAAAAATGAAGTTACGTTTCAAGAATGGAAGAGCAAGTTCTGATTACGTCACTCTCACTGGTGAAATGATCTGAACTTGAATTCTGCCGTTTGATAGGTATATTCTCAGCTCTCTATCAATTTTCATTTATTTTGTATTTACCTATACCTGTCAATAGAATCCATTATTATTATTATTATTATTATTATTATTATTAAGTATCTGAAAAAACCTGACAGGTTTAGAGGAAAAAATAATGAAAAAAAGCTGACCACATTGTTTTCCAAATTTCAAAATAAGACATTCGAACAACAATTTCGATTTCTTACCTATTTGGATATTTCAGTACACACGATTCACAGATAAATTCCGCTTTTCCTAATAGGCCTTTCCATTATTGTCTATCAGACACTAATGCACAAAATATTTTAAAAGCCTAGGACATGCTTAGGACGATTATTTGTTTTAGATTGGATAGTTTATTTGAGAAAGTGGAGATCGGTGTTTCCATCATTATTTGTCGTCAAAGTCATCAGACATACTGGGCGAAGTTAATCACCTAATTGAGTCATATTATTTGTTCATTTCTATCGGATAAATGCCATTTTCTTAGCAGATTCCTTAATGATCACTTTCAAAAACAGAGACATTTTTCTAATTTAGCTGACGGTGTACAAAAAGAAATTTAAAATCTTTTTTTTCGTCGACCCCTACAAAAAATCCTCGAAAAAATTTCGACAAAAAAAAATCATAAAGTTGAAAAATCTCGATTTTGAACACCCTATATCTCTGCGCAATCATTCTCGCTAGAACCGCAAGTATGATGCATTGATGAAATCAGCTCACAAAGGAGAATCCGAAGATGCAGTGAAATACAGGGTGTCCCATAAGAAAAAGTATAACTTTGATACGTCACGCATTTTTGAGTCACCTTGTATAACGCGAAATATTTTGGAAATGTGCTGCTCATGAGCCTAGACCATCACAAGAATATTTGTTCATCTATCTCGAACAGCAAAGCCGTTATCTTACTTTCCCATTGCAATGACTCACCCTGTATATTCAGCAGTTATACTATAGGTACTTCAAAATATTCGGGTTGTACATCGATAACTTGTATAATCAAAAATAGTATCAGTTTAACAGTTGAAATATTCTGTTACAAGTAACACGATTCGTTTTTGTGCAGAAAGTTTGAGATGTATAACCTTGATATTTTAAAGTTCAAATTTTATTCGATGCGATTATTTTTTGAGTAGTTATAAAACCACTCAAGTTTTACGACGCGCTTTGTTTGCATGTAACAATATGAATTGATTATTATTGGAATTGGAAATAATTCTAAATTTCAGATTGGTAGAGTTACTCTATGTATATCCATGCATAGTCGAAATTATACAAGCTAACTCAACAACTGGTAACTGTGATTTAACAATCAAATATATTCGGAGGTTATCTTATGAACATTTTTGAACAACATTTTGCTATCTGAATAATGATTGTAGAATGAGATATATTGGTCAAACACGACCGAATACATGCAACCGATTCAAAGAACATTGAACTAGATGTACAGAGGTATCTGAACTACTGCCGCAACTAGACAAGGAGAACAACATTCGTTATGATGTTTGTTGGTACTCCATACTTACTTCTTGATCCTGAAGCTTAATACCAACCACTCGAAACGTATTTTGTACCGTGTGATGGTAAATATGGACTCAACATTCGAACATCCTCGGAGGGGGTATTTTAAAAACATCCTCGAACGACATTTTAGTATCTGAATAATGATTGTAGCATGAGATACATTGGTCAGACACGACAGAGAACATGCAACCGATTCAAAGAACATTGAACCAGTTGTACAATATCTAAACAACTGGACAAGGGGAACAACATTCGTTATATATGGACTCAACATTCGAACATCCTCGGAGCGTATTTTAGAAACATCCTCGAACGACATTTTACTATCTGCATAGTGATTGTAGCATGAGATACATTGGTCAGACACGACAGAGAACATGCAACCGATTCAAAGAACATTGAACCAGTTGTACAATGATATCTTAACAACTGGACAAGGAGAACAACATTCGTTATGATTTTTGTTGGTGCTCCATACTTACTTCGTGATCCTGAAGCTTCCTACCGACCACTCGAAACGTCTGGTGTACCGTATGCTGGTAAATGTGGACTTTGGACAGACCCGACGACGTGCCCGATGGTACCCATTTTTTGTTAACATCGTCGTATATCATCACACTGGCCCTTGCACTCGCTATGGATTGTTCACTACGAAAAAAACGAAGATTTGAAAAAAAAAACTGATGTATTTTCGGTTGAGGATAACGTAATTTATTAATTATTGAACAGTTGTATTGTTCAATCAATCAAATTCGCTAGAAAAAATACAAGATGGCCTCTTCAAGATGGCGGTTGAGTTTGTAATTTCTCGTCCGATTCGCTTGAAAGTTTTTATCAGGGAGTTTTTGAGATCGAGAAATTCGATTGTATGGTAAAAATTCAGAAATACATGATGGTGACTAGGTGACAGAAGTTTTATTATTACCCATCTGATTCGCCTGGAAGCTTTAAATCTGGGGTAGCTTTGGAATAAGATTTCCTGGAAAAATCTGGAAATTCAAAATGGACTCCCCAAGATGGCGAACGATATTGTCATTTATGTCCGGTTCATCTGAACATAAACACAAGGGTTAGAACAGACTTCAGATAATCTGTCAAATCATTGCGATCAATATCATTTCCCTTCATTCTCTATACGAATTCGACATTTTGAAATATAGACTATCAAGCTATTTTTATCGTATATAAGAACATCAAATATATACATTGAAAGGTCAACAAATCTACAGCAGACAGGCAAATATTTAACTTTGAACATCCTACCTTTTCTGATAAAACACAAATACAGAGTGTCCCAGCTAAAGCTCGTCTACCTTTTTCATTTTAAATAGATCGTCAGTGTGTTTCTTGTAGGGCGGAGTGTTCTTCTAGCAACCCTATTTGCATCATTTCGAAAAAAAAATCAATCTAATTTGATGCAATGGAGATTTTATCAACTTTTGTGGAAATCATATATTACGAAAAATACCTGTCATCAGTGATATTTACCAGATTGACCAATTTTAGCTGAGATAAGTATAGGATAACAACCATTACATGTTCTAAATCAAAAAAATGCACAGAATTGCATTTTGCATGCCTATAACCAACAATCATTATCAATGCACTAGTGTGATAAAGTTCCAAGAAAACGCATGCAGCATACAGACGTTATTCCATGTACTGATAATGCCGCAATATTTTGTAGACATAGTAGCTACATAGTAGATATTTCAATCGATACTTGCTACTTATTTTTCATATAATATTGAAAGTGGATATTATGATATAGGAAAATAAATACAAAAAGCTCAGTCATTTTCACACAATGTTGATAAAATGAACGACAATGGTGGATTTCGGGAGACCTAAATATATGCATCGACTCGTATAAACGAATACTGATACAAGTGATTCTTTCCTGAATGCCTATTTATTTCGATTTAGCCAGGCCACGCTAGACACCTACAGACCGGTTTCAAGCTCTTTGACTCTCATCAGTGCAGGGCAGTCTCCAGCCAGCAGTCCTAAGACCACCGACTAAGCGTAGCCTAGCCAAACAAAAATCAAGTCGGCATTATATTCCCCCAGAGGCGTCTTTCATCGACAATATGAAAGCAACGCCATCTAAGTAGAACAGAAGGAAAGAAACACTCCAAAACCAAAATTCCCATACGGGAGTGGATGGTTGCCCGACTGGCGTAATTTCGTCGTTGAAGATATAAGAAAGCTGTGATAACGAATTTGAGCTCACATTTTTATAGCTGGTAAGCAAAAAAGCAGCATTGTTAGTAACTCAATTTCAAAGGATTAAAAGTATTTTTCTACTCACTTAACTAAAATGGCATTTAGCGTACGGATATGTACCACGCTAAATGATCGATTAATCACGAATTGTCGATCTGTGATTTATTCAGAATATTAAACACGTTACCATGGCAACACGATTTCTTAAACACATTACCATGGCAACACAGTTCATTAAACACAGCATCAGTAATTTGAGACATGTCTGGACTGTCAATTGTATCAACTGTCAACTGTTATTTTCAAATTTTGTACCAGTATCATTCAAACAATATTCGTTTGTATCAGAATTCTTCATTAAAAATATATGCGAAAAGTATAGACGAAAGTGAAATCGAAGAGAATGTTCAGGTACCTACTTGCATATCTCCAAGAAGTGTAAAAATGAAGCATCCATCTTTGAGAACAATTTATTTATTCTGCGCTAAGCATGACAAATAACATGAAACAAAGGTTAGTAAGCAATGGACTGGACACATCTACAACCAATATCACTTATACGTGTCTCGCTGGTTGCATGTAGTTGCATGTATTTTGTTGTCAATTCCCATTCCTTTCGAATTATTTTGTAAGTTAGCAGGAATAGCAGGTATGTTAATGTAATTTTCGGAGTTTGTAGAAAAAGCATTGTATGTAACGCGTTTATAAACTCTTCTAGACACTCGTTTATTAAACACTCGCTCCGCTCTGCTTCGCGACGTTTATAACACTTGTTACATAATATACTATTGTTACACCAAGAGACAGTGATTTTACTAGCACTAGCATGTTTGCTTCAGGTACTTACGACATTGGAGAAGACTAATTTTCCAAGGAATATTTTGTAATGAGCTTGATGAATTCCACCGAAACATAAAATACTTATATCATAACACTGAATCAGAGATGATTTCATATCGGTGATCGAAATAATCAGATAACGACAGAAAATATAATAGGTTTGATAAGCCTTGGTTCGAATGATACACTGCATACATACTCAGCAATAGTGAAACAGTAAGGCATTGCTATAGTTACTGTTACAAAACTAATTTACAATGTATCATCAATTATTTTACCTAAATTAAAAGCAGATGCAAACTCTGATCTGATTTTCATCGCAATGTTTGTTTGAAATCTTGAACCTTGGTATAAAAGTTACGGAAACCTCTTTGGAATACTCGACCTTGTATATAACTACTATTTTATAGCAGTTTACATGGTGTGAATAAACAAATGTTGCATAAATTAACATAATATGGTTCAGAAGAAAATATTGGATTAAAGTGAATCAAGATGTCGTAAAAGGTAGAATTTTAGCACAAATTAATTTGGTAGGTAGGTAATTTCTAATAAAATTTAAATGGAATGTTAAAAATTCCTATTTTGGATATTGTAAGTCATCATCAATAAATACTGTCTGTAGGTCAATCGAGGAGGTGGTATATTGGACTTATTTGTGAGAAAAATATTTTCCATTTTTTATGTTGAAAACGGGAGCAGACTCGTTCCCGAAACATCCGAAGATAAGTGAAACTTTGACATTTTTTCTATGTATACAGGGTGTATCTAAAAAACACCGAACATTTTCAAGTGGTGATATAAACATATTTCCATGAAAAATCGTTTTTTTATTTATTACTCAATTGTCTCTTCATCAATTTCAATAAAACATTGTGGTTTTGTTAATAGTAATATGGAGCTTCTTCTGGTACAATTATATTCGAAATAATATTTCCAGTGGCGTCACAGTGGGTATATTTATCGATGTTTATGGTGAATGTCATTTTTGTTAGATGGAACTATTGAAATAACAACTTTTTTATCCTCTGTGTGATTTTTGTATCAAGCTTATTTTTTGAGGAATCAATAAAAATTCGATTCGACTCCTAATTTTAATGTAGGTGTTTTCAAGACTTCCATTGAGATTACTCAATGACCCCAATTGGAATCATTTTGACCTAACCTAACCTAACCTAACCTAACCTAACCTGACCCCAATTGGAATCATTTTGAAATTTTGGGGCTTTGTCAGTCTCCAACCATACTGAATTTTGACACCATGAACGCTTATACAGGGAGTTATAAATAAAATTAATCAATACTACCATCTTCAACATCCTGTATCTCAAAAACGAAGCATCATATCACAAAGAAACACCCCTTGAATTTTTCGGTTTTATTTAGATACACCTCTTCCCAAAATCTTTCTCAATGCAAAGTGTCACTGACCAGCGAACGAATTTTTCTTTTAAGCTCTCTGATAGGAACATTTTCAAACGCAGTGACATTTTGGGGCAAATCATAATCTGTCCTCACTACACGTATATTGAAATAATTCTCATAATTTGATTTTATACAGGGTGTTTCAAAAAAACCTGACCCCCATACTAGGGTAGGTAGAACACTGCAAAATAAATTGGGTTTACTCAGTAAGAAATTTCGTAACGGCATCCGTTATCAAGATACAAGGTGTTGAAAAAATAATTTTTTTACACATTTTTCGAGATTATGTCGAAACTACTGGCAACATTGTGATGAAATTTTGTATGGATGTTTCTTGGAATCTGACACATCGCATGCATTTGTTTTTATATCTGACTCTCATAGAGGGCGCTAGTTACACGGTTCGCAGCAAGTAGTTTTGAACATAACTTTTTTGGGGTTAGATTTTTCAATCAGAATTTGATGTGAACTTGAACATCATTCAATTCCACACCAAAAAGGTACTCTTGGTAAAACTCGATACTGTGTTCCGTTTTCGGAATATTTCGATTTGAAAATGATGAAGTGATAACTGTTGCTGGTATAAAGATATGTATTAGAGTGAGTATTATGAAAAATTATCACCTATTTATTGAAAACAGAAAACAACAATACATTTCTGATGCTGAACTTATTGATTTAACAATGAATCATAAGAATAACATCGAAACAGATTTGACTAAGAACATGGATTTCACAGTTTTGTTGTATCTTGAGCAGAAAGTTTATGCTACATAGGTAAATTCACGTCAAGAGTTGTAAGACATAATTGAACATCACAAAAAGTACCTACTAGCTGATTCTCAACTCAACAAAAAGAATAATACATTCTCAAGAAAAGAATATAGAATCGTGTATTCGTCGAAACGTAGGACATTTTGAACACTCACTCTAACTCTAACTGATTTAATATTTCATGTTTCTAGTCAAATATCTCAATTTTCTACTTATGATTCTTTGTTACATCAATAACTCCAGTACAAGAATGATTTCATTGTTTTTGAATCTGGAAAAATAGGTAATTGAACTCAAAAAAAATAATTTTTGTACCAGCATCAGCTATTACTCCATTATTTTCAAATCGAAATATTCCGAAAATGGAACATTGTATCGAGTTT